TGGTTACAATCACAACCCCCTTTTGCACAACTTTGTATTTGAATTTCTTGAAGAATATGACACCCTTCTCAAGTTCGAAAAAGATTTCTGGAAGACTAAATCCAAAATCAACTGCTTAGTGAGGGAGATTCTAATAGAAAATTCTTCCTATTTCTCCAATTTGTTCACTACTAAATATCCTCATTCTATCTTTAACAAAATAATCATAGCCAATGCTCTTGACACCATTCCCCTGAATGTTAGTATGGATCTTGACATTACTCGAATCGATTGTGAACTACCCAAGCCCTGAAATCGTTTATCCCATTAAAAGTACCAGGTCTTAATGGTCTGCACTCTATGTTCTACCAGAAATTTTGGGACTTAGTTGAGAGGAAACAAATTCCTTCTGTAAAGATGTCTTCTCCAAAAGCACTATGCCTACCCACATGAATACCACCCTCTAGTGGCTGATTCCCAAGTGTTCTAGTGCCGCTACTCTTAAGAATTATAGATCCATTAACCTTTGTTGTATTGTTTATACGCTAGTGACCAAAATCATTGTCCATGGGATCTACTCCCTTCTCTCCATCATTATTGGGCCTTGTCAAGATAGTTTCCTTTCCAATAGAAGAGTTGCTGACAAATTATACATGAGTACATCTCCCATTTTTTTTAAAATGAAAGGGAAGAACCCAAACATGGTCCTTAAGATAGACCTAGAAAGCCTTTGACAAGCCTGAATAGTCTTACATCAGGGACATCTTGCTCTACATTCACTATCTTTGTAATCTGACCAAGCTCATTATGTCTTGTGTCAGCAGTAACTAAATATACATTCTTGTTAATAGAGAGAATGATAACTTCTAGGGGTATTAGATAAGGTGATTCCATGTCTGCCTACCTGTTTATTCAATGTATGGAAAGGTTGTCTAGAAGCATTGACAAAAAGGTTGCTAACAAAAACTAGTACCCCATTAAGATCACCACTAAAGGTTTTGAGATATTCATTTGTTCTTTGCTGATGATTTAACACTCTTTTCAAAAGCCAATGTCCAAAATTTCACCACAAACATCAATACCCTTAAAGACTTCTACATCAAGTCTGGACAAAGGATCAACCATAGTAAATTTAGAGTTTTTTTTTCCTCTAACTGTTCAAGTAAGATTGCCAGTGTTTGCAACAGCCTCCTCAACATTAATGTCACTACCACATTTGGTTGATATCTAGGCTTTCCATATTCCAAAAAAACATGTCAATGAAGACTTCCAGTTCACTATTGGCAACATGAACAACAAGCTTGTTGGATGGAAGAAAAAGTTTTTAAATATGGTTGGTAAAATTGTGCTTACTAAGGACTCTCTAGGAAGCATACTTTCCCCATCATTCAATAAATAAAATTCTTTGCAAAGTTAATAATATAACTAACCGGATTCAAAGAAATTTCATCTAGGGCACAACTGAAGAAAGAAGGAAACTTCTTCTAATGAGTGGGAATACCATTACTAGCACTAAAGAAAGAAAAAAAGGTATGAGAATTCAAAAGAGTGAAATCAAGAATAAACACCTCCACACCAGCCTCTCTTGAAGATTATACATAACCATGATATTTTATGAGGAAAAGTTCTCACCAGTAAATACTCTTAACTCTAATGCAATTGGAGAAAGAAACTTATGTCCAGAATCTGGAACTATGTCATAGATGGTTTGGGAAGACACAAGGAATGTCATAGATTGGAGGTCCACAAAGGGAATATGGTGAATATTTTTCAAATGATTTCTAACTTTCTCACTAAGGCACAATTAGAAGTGTGATCCAGGGACCCCTACAAAGGGAGGAGACACCTTGAAGGTCGATGACCTAAACAAAAATAGAAGTTGAATTTCTTGGGCTTTTTTTAACACTCCCTGAACACTAAAAGGCTTGTATTGAAACCAATCAATTCCTCTATAATAGCTCTAGAGAAGACAATTTAGTTTTGGGGACTTACAAGGAATGGTAGCTCCTCAACCAACAATGTTTATTTTCTCATCCATGGTCAATCAATTAGAATCCATCAAGACAATAACATCAGAAAATTCGACTGAATTTGGAAAATTAGTGTCAAAATAATATCAAAACCTTCATTTGGCTCATGCATCATGCAAGACTCCTGACATCAAATTATCTTCATACGATAGGAATTGGAGTGAACCATGCTTGCAGCTTTTATGGACATACAACTAACGATATCACTCGTTTCTTCGCCAGATGTCCCAATGGCACTACTTTCTAGGCAACTGTCTATACCAATAGCTCCTCTACACCTACAATGCCATGTTTCCTTGGGATGTAATTCTCCTTTATAGTTTTTGGAACATTTGGCTACAAAGGAATAATAACTTCTTCAACATTAAGAAGGATAGCATCTCATTTAACCAAACCTTTACCAAGAATACCACCTCCTTATTCAGCCCTCCACAACTCCCAAGAGGCAACCCATTACGATCTTGATCAAATGGGACTCCCTCCCCCTACCACCTCCAGTAGAAACATTCATGCTAAACACCGATGGTTTAGTCAAATCAATCCTGAGAATTTGTGGAGTTTGAGGGATCATCAGAAACCATAAAGGAAAATAGGTCCTGGGCTTTATGGCCAAGGCCCCACATGTGAACTCTATGGTGGCTGAACTTCAAGCACTTAGACACGGCCTTCTTTTGGCCATAAAGCATAATCTCACCCAGAGGCGGATCCAGAATTTAAAGGGTGTGGGTTCCATATCGCCTTTAAATAGACGTATCATTAAATCGATCAAATATTTAACATATTTTGACCTTATAAATAGCAACTTGGATTGTTGTTCGGTTATTAAATAAATAAATAATGACAACTTGGCGCAAACAAAAAAACCTCCAACAATATCCTCTATGATTACACTCGGTGAAGTTTCACATTCTAAATACACCCAATAATGATATAGTTATTTATATTTATTAATAGTTCACACTCTATGTAACAGACTTAAATAAAGTGGTTGGATTTATTGTACATGCATAATTTCAGTAACAGAAATGAAGTCTTATGTTGATGTTTTGACTCACAACAATAAAAATCATAAAAGACCAATGCAATCATATGAGATTTTAGTATAATTTTCATGTCATCTTTTAATGCAAACAAGCATTTTATTTTGTAATTTTAAATTCTCGATAAGATTTAAATTATCATATTCTAAACTATTTCTTTTTTTATATGCATTCAAATTATTCAGCTAATAGAACAAAGGGTAAGAGAAATTTGGCATTGAATTTCAAAAAAATTGACAAAAAGAAAAGAAAATTTTGAAGGAGAATATCTAAAACAATTTGTAGTCATTATATGACCATAAATTATTTCATTAAAGGCAAAAGGAGAATTACAAATTAAACTAGTTTCTAATAATAGAAAAGTAATACTATTCTTTTGAAATAATCTAAAAAAGAAAGTATATTACATAAATTTAAATTTAAAGAGTAATATTTTATGTCTAAAATAAAAAATAGGAAAAAAAAAGTCACAAATTTAGAAGTTTTGTCATGTTAAGATATTATATAGTAAAGCATGTAACATCATAGATGTCCATAGCCTAATGGTAATTGGTAATAGTAATCTTAGTCCCAACAACATTGCAAGTTTGAATCGTGGTGGGGTACTTCTTCTTTTTTTTTTGCAAAAGAAAAAATGCAGCGTATCTATGCGGAATAGATTCCGCGTGTTTGGTGAGTAAAATTCGACCTTCCACCGCCGGTACCACGCGGTTCATTTGTTCTCTGAGTGGCAAGTTAATATTTATCATACAGACTATACATATATACATATATAAATAAAATTTCAAGATCACTGGGTGACGTGGCACCCCACGACTATACATAGATCCGCCCCTGATCTCACCCCTCTTGTTATTAACTTGGATTTTACAAAAGTTATAAATATGTTGTCACATGGTAATATATTTTATACTAATATTATTGTTGAGTACAATTTTTTTATGCAACAACTGGGAGAAGCACCACCATCCCACATCTTCAAGGATTAGAATAAAGTGGTTAACATGCTCAATATGAAGGGCCCAAAGTTTACAAAACTTTTGGGACCCCAACTATTTTATTGGTTACACCAATGTTTGTGGCAAAGCAACTTGGGCAGACATTCTTGGAGCCATCTATTCTCAAAAATCAATTGTTTGTAATAGCTACTCATTAGATCATATGATGGCACATACATCTATTTCTCCTCATGCGCGACTAATATATAATGTTTTCCTTTGACAGAAAAAAGTATTAAAAAAAAACTACGACACCTCTATATCAGCATGGATTATAGTCACATTGGGTGGACGTTCGATTCTTTGGTTCGATTTTATCAAATTTCGGTTCGATTCTTCAGTGTTTGGTTTTGAAAAAGTGTGAATTCTGAACCAAACTAGATCGATTCAATTCGAGTTTTTCAACTTCGCTTAATTTAGTTCAGTGTTTTTAAAACAGTTTTTCTGTGCAAATGAGAAATAAATATCAAAATATTTAACGAAACATAAAAATTAAAATAATCAAATAAATATATATGAACCCATCCAGCAGGCCAGCGTAGTGGGTTCATGTGCTATCTTCTGAAAAATAATGTGCTGGATTGTTCAACGTATAATATGAAACATTATCAACCCAGAAATTGTCAATGTATAACATGAAATATTTATAACATGGTCGCTAGAGGGTGTGAAGACAGAGGAGGCCATGAGTTTTGCTTAATTTAGGAATTAGGGGCTAGGGTTCCAAAATTTGGTTCAATATTAAAATGTTTTGGTAGAATATACAAGTAATATAATTTAAAATTTTATTTTAAATATATTTTACAGAAGTTTCCAGAAGAAAACACCGAACCGAAAAACTGAAATCGAAGAACTTAATTTGTTCAATTCGGTTCAATTTTTAGACTTTCCGGTATTTATATCTCTAGAAAAGAAACCTTTTCAAAAATGGTTGGAAATTAGTTTTACAATTGTTTTCATTAAATGTAGAATTTCATTTAAAACCAGGATACAAAACCCTCATCGACGAACCAATGATCCTTGATTACATTATAATAATAAATAAAAAGGATCCCTCACATTCATATCATCATCATCAGAAGAAGAAAAAGTAGAATTACATATCAAATGAGGCATTAGCTTTTTATGCTGCCAAAGAATCTAGAAAGTGGCAAAGGACCATCAGCTTCATCATCGCTTGTAGACTGCTTCAACCTCGACCTCGACTGGTGCTTCTTTTCTTTCTTCCTTCTCTTAGACTTGGATCTTGATTTTCTGGATTCTCTATCTTCATCGTCAGAACTTGAAGACTCAGATGACGAACTTGAAGAGCTGGAATCGGAATATCTCCTTGAACGCTGAATCAGTTTAGGTAATATATGTGTCATTCAAATGTAGTACTCAATCACACAAGTCCATTCTGAAGATCTTCAAATATGAACTGACAGTCCAGAGAAACAACTTATAAATTCTTAACACAATATGTACAAGTAATTAAGCAAAAAGTTGTTGCATTCTTTCTAGTCTCTAACAAACAATAGTCTCTAGTCTCTACAAACTAAAAGCACAGTAGATGTTTGCCTTTACTTTGGAATAAAACATTAGGTTTAATTTTTTGTACTATACCCCCTACAAGAGTTTAAGGCTAAGAATCTCTCCGACCCAAGTACCCTATGTATAATATTTAATTTTTCCTTTGTGATTCTTGAAGGTCAACTTGTGAGGATATGAAAAATGGAAAATACATCTGCCATTTCATTCAGTTAGATGCATACTGGGAATATAGATATCTGTCTCATGCAGAACTTTCAAGGAAGGAAAAATAAACACTCAAAAATCCAAAAATTAGTTCTGATCAAAGGTCCTCAATTTCTACTTATCTACTAGGTCTTTTCAATGCGTTCTTACTGATCGTAAAGGTACCTTAAAGCAAAATGAATTTCATATGAAAGAAATGCCGGGCAGCTATATCAGTTACATGCAGAGCAAGTAATGAATAATTGCCAGAAGGGGGTGTTGTGCAGAGGGCGAAACGAAGATGAGTAAGAGTGTGGATGAAAAGGAAGAGTCAGTGCCAAAACAGGGAAATAAGAAAATGCTTGACAGGAGGGAGAAGAAAGGAACTTCTCAAAGATTCTTGGGTCCAGAAAGATCTTGGGGAATTTGAATGTGACATCGGGAAGGACATTGCAGAGATTAGACAAATTTCTCATCTAGACACAGTGGGAGGAAACATTTCCAGAGGGCGCCCAGATTCCTCTTCCCAGGCTCACATTAAACCATATGCCCATCTTGCTAAATGGTAGTAGGATGGAAGAGGTTGAAAACCTTTTCAGATCTGAAAATATGTGGTTGGAGGCATGCAACTAAGTAGAACTAGTGGTAACTGGTGGAGAAGTTTATCAAGTCCATGGACACCCACACTTCTCTTTAGCAGGAAGTTGAAAGTGTTAGAAATGACTGAAGATGGACTAATAAAGTGGTTCGGAGGGTAGAAATAAAGCTGAGGGATATAATGAACGAGCTGCAGAGTTGGCACGAAATCGGTGAGATGGATTTAAACAAGCAGGAGAAAATTAAAAGGTGAAAGGGGGAGTTAGCAAATACGACAATTGGCCAAGAGATCAAAATTAATGGTGTTGCGGCTAAAAAAGGTGACTATGTCTGCCACATTAACTTTCCACTGATTAACAAAAGCTAAAACAAAGTACGAGGAAAAAGAGGAAGTAAAAGGGCTATTAAGGGCTTCCATATACAAGGCATAAGGAATTGGAGAGGAGACCAAAATTGGAAGTGAAGTTAAGCAGCAAATGGGGGTAAATAAGAGAGTGCCCCGGATAAAGCTCTTGGAGGAGGAAGTATCCAAGGCAATTAGTAGCTATGCAGAGGACAAAGGGAAAAGTACCAGGCCCTAACGGTTTCACAAGTTCTTTTGTCAATGTTGGAGACTAATTAAAAGAAGACATCATGAGTGCAAGAAGGCATTGAATTCTACAAGAAAATTTGGAAAGAGTATTAATTCTTCTTTAATTGCAATTATTAGCTTAGTTGCGCGGACTCTTCACTTTTGATGCTGCACCCGTCTCGGATTCTCCAAAAATACACTACTTTTGGCGAATCCGACACGCACCCGTTGGCACTTTTGAAGAGTCCGAGCAACATAGATTATTAGACAGGGCATACAATATCAAGGATTTCAGAGCTACAAATGTTTTTCTTTTGACTTAAGGTCTTCGACAGCACCATGTCAATGACACATATACTTAGAAGGAAAAAAGGCTGGATGGATTTTTTTATTGCAAATGAAGTAGTGAACTCAAGAACGAAAAATAGGAAGCAGAGCCTTGCAAGCTGAATTTAGACGGTGTCAAAATGAGCTTCTTGGCTGCATAATGAAAAAATTGGCTTCGGGAACAAATGAAGACCGCGCATTCAATTTTGCATATCCATGGTCAAGTTCTCAGCTTTGGTCAACGAAATCCCTCAGATTTCTTCAAAAGTTCAAACGTTTATAACAATGAGATCCTTTGTTCTCTAAGTTGTACATATTAGTGATGGGAACTCTCTTATCATGATGATGAATGAAGTAGTAATTGAAGGTTATCTGAGGAGATGCACAGCCAAGGAAAGGAAGGACAATAAACAAATTATCATTGGGTGCAAGACACAAGAAGAGAGCGGCATGGAATGCTGTGATGGAGAAAGTGGAAAAGAGGTTACAGAATAGTAAAATAAAAACACATCAAAAGGGGAGGGAGACACTTCCTAAGAACACTTTGTCCAAAATTTTGACCTATTATGTATTTAATGTGCCGATCAACATAGCAGAAAAGCTGAAGCGATTGGAAAGAAACTTTTTATGGAACTCAAAAGGGTAAGAGGGTTTAATTTGGCAATTGAAATCAGTCGCTCCTCCTATGAAGGTGACGGGTTCAAGAGATAAAAGACTCGAGGGTATTCAATAGTGTCTTACCTACACAAATGGATAGGACGGTACAGCATGTAGGATCAAGCATTTTAGAGAGAGATTATTGTCAACGAATATGAAACATAGGGGGGTGGAAAATTGGTCATATGAACATGTTGAATGGTGTATCCCCAAGGGCAGAGCTAGTGTGAACATTACGTGTCCAGCCAAAAATAGTAACTTTGGTCCAAACTTTGTATTTGTATTAACAAAATCCATTGAATATGTAAAAACTAATAATTTAGAACCTAGTAACATAAAGGGATAAGAATCCCGAACCCATAAACTTCAAATCTTTGCTCCGCCTCTACGTATCCCTATGAAATGAACAACATAAGGATGGGAGAACTTCTAGAGGGATGTCACACTTAAGGCGTAAAAGGACACCACAGTTGGTTTCTGGAATGAAAAATTGTATGGTGATAACCTTCTACAATGAACTTTCCAACTATCTTTAGACAACAGTCGCACAAAGACGGCATCAGTAGCCTAGATTGGCAAGGAACAGGGAGATATGGTACTACAGAATTGTAATGTTAGAAGAAAACATGCAGAACTAAAAAATGGAAGGAATACCAGTTGGAATACTTGGTCATCCGTAATATATCCAATATATTTTGTACAACTTAGACATAGTATCATATTTATCAAATATAAAAAAATAAAAGATAAATAAAACTTAGAACTACATCCTGATATTCTATTCCTTTTCCTTTTTTAATTTCGGAAAATATACACAAAAATCCATTTTACAGAACATTTTTATAAAATTACCACCTTAGGGAAATTACATCTGGTACCACATTCATAACACTATATACAGCTTTTTAAAAACAAATTACTTTTTTATAAGAAAACTAGAAACAAATCACATCCAATACCTAATCACCCCAGGTTCTTTACACACACTCTCGCGGAGCGGATCTTTACTTTTGCTCAGAAGCGCCCCTCCTCGTTGTTATCACTGGAGCAAGAAGGGGTGGTCAAGTTCATATGTTTCTCGTATTTAGTTCACTAGGAATGTTTTACCCACAAATCCTTTACTTGCGATAGTTCTTCCCTGAAAGTTTGTTACAAATTCCAAGTTCCCCAATTTTATACTATTTGTCAATTATAAACCTAAATCAATGGTTTACTGGTATACTTATAGTTTACTATGTTAAATATAAACCTAAATCAACAGTATACTTGAATATTAAATAGTATACTATTTGTAAAATACAAACCTAAATCAATGGCATAGTGATCAAAGAAATTAGCAAGAACTAGAAAGATTGAAATCTAAAAATAATTAAAAAGAGATTCAAAAGAAAGAAAGTAGAAGATTGTTGTCCCTCAAAATGGTGTTTAAGCTTATCTTCTGTTTCGCTTTTCGAAGGCTGTTGTGGTGGTATGGGAAGGTTTAGAATTTTGGTCAACTCAAATTTGGGGTTGGAAGGTGCTGAATATAGGTTCCACTATTTGAGAATTCCCTCCTTTTTGCTTTCCTTGTACAAGGGAGAACTTCATTCCTTCCAAGTACAATTTTTCATTTACATTCATGATTCAACACGAGAAAAAGTTTATAGACTATTTGATAATTGCTAAGCTATTTTTCATTGAAATTCATTAAGGTCACCTGCTATAGCATATTCAACATTTGACAGACATATCAATTAAAATTAGGACATCTTGATAACTGATGGCTAACAGATTTAATTAAGTTCAAAATTTTAGGTCAACCAATTACCCGTTCAGATGCTTATTGAAGTACATATGAAGCTCTCAATTGTAAATTTGAAGATTAGAATGTGTCAATTTTTATCTCATATACTCAAATATAAGTTACCTTATTTTAATTATTTTATTCTTTTCAGGTTGTTAAATGTTTTTTATATCTCTCATTCCAAAATCATCTAATAATTACCTTGTCTTACTTATTATCACATCCTTTCTTCTGACATGTTATGTTACTACAACATAGTCCGTACCTTTAAGACAAGAGAAGTAACAATCAAGAAATCAGGGCCAATTCACTTCTTCGGGTGATTTTGTAAACCCCAAACACCCTCCCTTAGGGCCAAGTAGCCAAAAGATTTGTTTCCCCACTTCCCCGATGTTGACACAAACTCCCAACATTTTGGTTGGAAGAAGAGGGCTTAACCACGAGAATTACTCTGTTTTTATAACTCTGAAATCCGTCCAACTTGTGCACCCTTGACTAATTCCACGAGATACATGTCACCTCCTACCCACGACAGGTACCGGCCAACTCATTCCTCCAAGGCTAGGAGAAATGAGAAGAATCACATAGTGGTTTTGTCTCTGCTGGGATCTAAACCTAAGACCTCATGATTCTCAACCCACTTCATTGACCAATAGGACACACCCTTGGGTAAAAAATTACTCTCTTATCAAATGGGACCAATTCAACCTTCAATCTATCACTTTGAAATTTCATCATGACATATATAGGTGGAATTGTAAGCATTTATACCAATTACAGAGAACTAGTAAATATTGGATGTTCTTATAACATGAACACTGCTCAAGTTAACATAATAATAGGCAGACTCAAGAATCCTTTAAATCTCATAAGTAAGTCTGCTCAAGGATTCATTCTGCAACAAAAGAAAGCAATGAGGAAAGAAGACAAATCTTTACTTTTCGACAATTAAGAAGACAAATCTTCACCCTGATGCTCCTTAATGAAACCCTTTACTTCATCAAAAAGAAAAAGAAGACAATTATTTATCTCACCTGAAACTAAAATTTCTTACTCTTTGGTCTTCATTGGCTACAGTATATTTAAGTTAAGGGCTTAGTGAAACGAAAAGGTACTACTAGAAAACATGAGACTAGCAAGAGGCCCTGGCCATAACATGGAAGTAAAAGACCCCAAGCATCAATGCCCCCACCCCCAAACCCTTAATTGAAGACTTCAAATCTAACACTAGCGGAACCCTTGATCGACCAAAAATGGGATTAACTGATTCTTACTGAAGATACAAGCGGGTATTTGCACTTCTTTAACTAGGGGTTTCACTGTTTTCAGTTACATAAATTATTATTTTTTTGAAACTGGTAATGTTGAAGTTACATAAAAAAAAAAAATCTATTAGAATAATTACAGATTAAGTTCTGATCCCAAAAATAGCATTTGGTTTCATCATTATTTATGAATGCAAACTACACGATGTCAAGCAAGACAATTCAGGTTAGCTAGAAACTTGAAAGTTTAGGATAGCAAAACCAATAGAATTCAAAACTCCTTGAGCATTGACGCTTCTTTCATTAACAAGACAACCATGCATAATCCAACGAAGATTGTAGTTAACTTTTTTCATTCTCACAAGCAAAGAAAAGAAAGAGTCTAGATTGAAAAAAATCTTCACCTTTCTCTTTTTGCTTCTCTGTTTCTTTGTATCTTTGTCCTTCTTATCTGCAAGAATGCATTTCACCATCAAGAACGAACTGATCTAAGTCAACTAGAAATTTGACACACACTAAGATATAAAACAACTAAAAGAACTACAAAAATTGACTCCCATTAAGAAATTTCATAACATTTTACCCTTTTTGCGACTGTGTTTACTGCTGGAATGATTCCTTCCCTGAGAGAGCTTGCTGGCCCTTTCAGCATCTAGCTGAGCCCTGTATTCCCGCATCATTTTATCTTTGTCTGCTTCTAGCTCTCCTTTTCTCACTTCTTCTTCCTAAAAGAGTATCATTAGTATTATGCATCTCCAAAATAAGACACGGAGCGGGAAGAAAAAGAACTTCAATATCAGGAAACGATAGTAACAGGCAATTGTATGATCTAAGTGGATCCACACAAGAGCCAATTTATACTTGATAGTCCAAAATTGGTATCACTCAACCCCAATATAGGAAAGGGAGCTTCAAATATGCATTTTTTGGGGGAAAAATAAGTCATTCGCAAAGTGCAGAACTTCTCCAACGACCAGGTTGCTAGTAACAGCTAAAAAATAGCATCCAAGGGTGTCGTCCAATGGTCAATGTAGTGGGTGCAAACCCTGGAGTTCGATTTTCAAACACTTGCAAAAAAAATTTATGCGATGACTTGCTAGTTGTACTTAACCACCTAGTGACAAAAGAAGGCCATCTAAATACATCACATCTTAGAATTGTTCCTCCTTATGCAGGCCTAGTGGTGTTTGCTAAATAAATATCAAGTATTATATACCATAACCAAGCATACTTAGTTCCTCTTTTCCTATAATTCTCCAAGGTTCACTTCTTAAGTGTTGTCATTCTATCTTCACATATCTCTACAATCATTTAAGCCAATCGCAATGGTGTTTATGAAACAAATTCAACCATGTTCTTATATAACTGTAATTCGATGTAACAACTACATCGACCAACATTTTCTTTAGCTTCAGGAAGAAACAAACTGATCAAGAATGAAATCATGCAGTCCAAGTAAGCAAAACCTGGGAAATGCAAACCAAGATTATGTACACCCTCATATGACTATCAAGGTGGTTGAGTATATTACCTTCTGTTTCTGTTTGAACTCTTCCCAGGTAACTGTATGAGAAGTTTTGAGGCTTGCCAAACGAGCCGCATGCCACTCTGGTGTATGAAAAGAACCATCCACCTGCGACAGTCCTCATCAGACGAAGCACAAGAAACAAAGAAAAAGACAATTCTCGATGACTCCAATGTACTAAATAGAAAAAAGTTAGCTCAATTATATAAACTCTAAGAAAAAAGTTGAAGAAAAATGTAAGTACCAAACACAAACTAAGAGAATTAAAGTTAACACTACTCAGAATTAATTAGACTTTAATTGTCTTATACAGTCAATGAAATAATTTTTTCCTTATCTTTAACCATCCTGAAGCTTAATCATAGACTTCCACTTGCATTTTCCACATAGAGCTCGTTTAAATGGTTGTGTCCCCTCACATTATCAATGTTTGGTTATCTTGAACTGGGGAAGATGCTCTCTCCAAAGATAATAATTTTTTTAACCAAAATGGAGAAAATGTTTGCGCCACACTTATTGGCAGAAGTAATTTTCCTATAAAAGTATTACAACTATTTCTCCATATCAGTTACTCCAATCAACACTAAAACATTGTTGTCAACCACTCAACCTTCATATCCAAAAACATCTTCCAAAGTATGTCACCAACTTCTAAACCAACCAAACACTGGAAATAGAAAATGATTTTCCAAACTAACATACTTTCCACCAAAAACATGTCCTACAGAGAACATTTTCTGCCACACCAACCAACTTGAAGCAGATAAGTTTTTACACAATTAACCACCAAGTACACTTTGGAACCAAAAATGATAAAATAAACTCTAGAAAATCTCATATAAAGCAATACCCATGTGCAAAAACAGCATACATACCTTCCCAAATGGACAAACAATTTCCTTTTTACAACCAAATAAAAGTTCAAAACAAAAAAAGAATGAACTTTAACTCAAATAGTATTAATAATTAAAGAATAGTGTGAAAAGGGACGAACCATTCCATCATCAACTTCATCAGGTCCACCTGAGCCAGAACCCAACCTTGCTCGCTGCATAGCTTTGTAAGCTTGATTTTTTCCCATTCTTTTTACTTTTGGGTTCAAAATCAAAAGCGGAAAAAACCCAGTTTAGAAAAAAACAATTTCAAGAGCAAAGAGAGAGTACTTGTGACATATAAAGGAAGATCTTGAGGAAACTTTATAGGTTTAGGGGTGGACTTTGAGATGAAAGGGTTATCAAAACACACGATGATAACAGATTGGTATAGATCTTCTTTTCCACAAGGAAAAATACAACAATTTGGGAATTGCGGACCCGAAAGATAGATTTTATTTCGACTGTTTTCAGCTATCGTGTTTTTTTTGGGCTTTTTGTGGCCCATATCGGAATTGTACACACCACAACAAAGTGCACAAATATTCGTTTTTGGTGTCGTCATTTAATTGATATCTAGAGTTAAAATAAATTTGCAAGTTTATCTTTTTCGAAAATAACTATAGATGTACGTGATTGAAATTGAAAAATTGTATCTAATTTTTGATATTTTTGTCGGAAGTATGATCTTGTGTGACAAGTCTCTCATCCGATCTTGACGCAACAGATATTCAATACTATAGAACCATATTAAAAGCACATTATAAAAACAGAATTGTGCATTAATGATTCGATATTATTAATTTGATCGATTATATATAATTAAGTCAAGCAATGGTTAAATTAAATATAAATTAAAATAATTTAAGTATGGTGACATGCCCAATAGTCAAACAATTACTATACCAAGTACTAGGGGTGTTCACGGGTTGGTTTGGATCGGTTATTGGTCAAAACCAAAACCAAACCAACTTAATCGGTTTTAAAATTATCAAAACCAAACCAAACCAAATATAATATACATTTATCGGTTTGGTGATTATCGGTTTCGGTTTGGTTTGGTTCGGTTATTCGGTTATTAACCATACACAAAAATAAAAGAAACAATTCATTTAAAATGTGAAAAAAGTGACAACAATCCATTCAAAC